CCTGCTGAGGTGCGAGGATTAAGGAGTGAGAGTCTTCCTGGAGGGGACTATGAGTGAGGGCACCATCCCTTGTAGAACTGTTATGGACCAAAGCCTCTTTATTGGAAATAAGTTTGTGACTGGACACTTCAGGTGAAGGACTGAAGGAAAGGAGGCCTGTCTTTAAAATGTGTTACCTTGATTCCTCTTTCCCCGCATCTTATGTGGGTGGTACTAAGACACAAGAAAAAGAGGCAATTGAGGGAAAAGTGGATGCAATTAGGAAAACTGTGATTGACCTTTTATAACATCACAGAGATGCTCATGTGACTGATTGGACTAGATTCTTAGCATCATTATTTTCTGAAAAGAATATTGTCATTGTCATAAATAACAGATAACACATCTTTTCAGACAGTGCACGACTGTGAAAGAGTAATCAAATGCCAGATAGCAGCCTGTAATTGTTCAGCTTTGTCTTGTCTGAGCAGCTCTAAACTGTCACAACAATCAAAGCCAATCAATCACTTAATTAAAGTAGTACATTTAGGGCACATGGTACCACTGACTACATGTAGAGCAGCCTTTCATTACCAGGGGAGTTAATAATTTCAGGTATTCATCTGTTGGCCCAGTCTTCAAGAATGCGCTGACAGTGATTAGTTATGACTCACACTGAGTCAAACAAACGCTATTAATTTTAAACAAAAAGAGCCCATAATACAATCTAAATGCCAATTAGTGTCAAATTATTCCCGGGCAATATAATTCAAGCGGTGTAAAAATACCATGGGAAATATGTCATGCTCTGCAATAATAGTAATTCTAAATAGCACTTCAATTGTGCATGTCATTATACTAAATTATGAAAAGCCTGAATGCTCTTGGCAGAACAGTCATTCATAAAAGAGCCTCTTTCTAGTTCAGTGATAGAAGTTTTCCTTCTTTAAAGAAGCTATGCTGAGGTTGAGCATTCAGTTCTACCCTGAAATAGTTTCTGTAAATTGAGTTTGCTGTCAAAAACCATCTCATTATCTTTATTTAACAGCTTAGTCATAAGTCAGAAGGGCACTGGCTGATGTTTGTAATGGTGAACCTGGCAGCTGTGAAGGTTTTAGCATATTCTCAGAAATGTTTTTAAAAGGTTGCTCTAAAACACTGAACAGTGTTGTTTAGGTGTGACCTGATCTGCAGAGGCACCATGAACCACTCAGCCTGAGACTCTGTCAACAAAAAAACAAACAGCTGGAGAGAGAACATAGTTCTTATTTCCATAGTTTTGGCCACCGCTGCTCTCCATTATAATCCCTGGCAGAGTCCAGGATGGCAATTGAGTACAGAGACAGATGGTCAACAAATTCCCACGTTAAAAGCATTAGTCAGCGAGTTACTGTAAAAACAAGACTAAGAATCAAGTGGGAATGTAATTAAGTCTCTCTTGGGAATGTAATTAGTCTATGGTCATGAATCACAATATCAGACAATTATATTTTAGCAGTGATGGTTAATGGATCAATCAGGCGTTTTTCCACTTTACACTGAAGGGATGATGAATGTCTGCGCCAACTTTCATGGTAATCCATACAATAGTTGTGGAGACGTTTCACTCACATCAGAAATGCCAACCTTGTGATGGTGCTAGGAGAAAAGTCTGAGGGCCACCAAAGCCAAGATAAGATGAATCGTTTTAAAAACAAATTTCAAGCTATTTCAAGGATGAACTAACCAACAAACACGTTTCTACTAAGAGACAGTACATGGAGAAAAAGGACCCATGGGCAGATGCACAGCCAGACAGGTAGAGTAAATGGTAAATCATTTTAAAACGTGATAGTCTAATTTCAGGTTGAGGTGACTTGAGCCAAGCAGAGAGAAAAAGTGGACAAAACCACAGTCCATGCAGGGGTTGACAAGAACAGGTCATACAACATCAAAATCTGACAAAGTTCAAAGAAAGCAGGCAAGAAGCAAAGTCTGAAAATGATCTGAGCCCAAAATAGGTAAGTGAAACCAAAACCAGCTAAGGTAAATCCAACAGGTCAAACCCACTGAAACAGACAGGGTGCCTGACTACTAGAACTGGGGAATCACAACAGACAAGCCAACAGAGGACAAAGGGAAACCTGGGGGAAGTGGAAGCAAGTGATTATTGTGGACGTGGAATTCAGGACCTGGTAATTGGGGAATTAGAGGAAAATTCTTTTTATTTAATTTAAACTTTATTTTACCAGGAAGTCCCATTGAGATCAAGATATTTTTCAGGGGAGACCTGGTCAAGATGGCAGCCATACAAGGTGAACAGAGTCAAAAGGAAAGTCTGGAGAGTGACGGCAAAAAGGAAACTGCGCTGTCAGGAGCGGGACTGTGACAGGTGTTACCATCTTTAACCCAAACTAAATGGCTCTCTCTTCGTTCAGCTGTGACCTATCGTACTGTGTCATAAACAACAGATGTTTTAAACTGTGTCACCTTAATTTATGGACAAAACTGCATTAAAAACAAGATCCAGATTATACAGCAAAAATAATACAAACTGCATGGTAGGTCAGAGTTAGAGAAGATGGAGGCTGAATTATTTGTCAGCAATGTAGAGCTGTGTGCAGGCAGGAGAAATACACCACAGTGACTCATCAGATCTTGCTCTTTAATGCCCAGGGTCTGAGGATTTGTTTCCGTCACATAGCATATTTGGCCTTGGAGACGTGGTCTGAAAACGCTAGGAATGGCGTCTCATAACTTGACAACATTCTGTGGTTGATATTATTGATACTGTAGTGTGCTGAATAGTGCCTGAGTCTGTGACAACAAATCTGCGTAAAGATTTAAAGCTAGTCTGAGGTATTTTATAGTGGCTTTTTAACTTTTATGGATACATTTCTGTCTCATTTACAGAGTTAGTACGAGTGTAGCTTATTGCCTTCTCTTTGAACAAAGTTATACAAGCGCTGGTGATCATACACAAAGAACAACAGATAATGTGATCAAATGCTGCATCTAACGCTTGTACTGCAAATTCTGATTATATGAAGCAAAAAGGCATTTTCCCCCTCAAAACAGTTTGCTTGTTAGAGTAATTGGGGACTTAAATGTCACACAGGATGAGTGCAGCTGCACAGTATTTGTGGTCATAGGGGCATGAACAGGAAAACATGCAATCCAAATCTCTTGAATGCCATGCAATCTGGAAACACTTGACACCACCAGCCAGACAGGGAAACAGCCACAATAATCTACTTCACAGCACGCTGCTGTAAGTTGCTTTTGTTACAGTTACATGAATGAATGAATGCATGAACAAAAGCATGCTTGTTCACATTCTGTAAAATGTTTACTGTCTAACATATGTTTAATTGATTTCCTCTGTTAAGGTCTCCTGTCATTTTGTAGTGAAAGACTCGTTCAATATTTACTTGAATGAAAATATAGTAAACCCTCCAACATGGCCAAGAAATGTCAAATAAATGTCAGAACCTGTAGTGATCCAACTAAAGCAAACAGTGTTACCTATTGAAATGCTACCTCAGCTTTTGTCTCACCGCCCTAAGTGTCTGCTATTGCCTTAACAAGAAAAGACAATTCTGCTACACTGACGCTTTTCTTAGAAAGTCAAAGAGAAGTATTTTCAAAAAAGACAGAATACATCACTTGGCAGATTTCCCCTGTAACTTGGGTGACCCTCATTTTCCTTAATTACTTTTTTTGCTTTAGAAGAAATCCTTTTTCTACCACTACCATCATTCCTACAAAATTTCTAAAAGAGGTCTGTGGTTTGGACAAGAGATTAATTTAATAGTTTCCTGTGCTGGTTCTTTCACAATACAATTACTTGACCAACAATTCTGAGTCCAACTTGGAAATCATTTGATGGATTTTTTTTTTTTTTGGTCAACTTTTTGTTTGTTTGTCTTTTGACTTCCAATAACCTCAAGGATAGGTTCTGGCTTGCCTCTATCTGAACAGATCCTGCTGACAAGAGGACTAAGTTACAACTGGTTGCATGCAGGAAGAAGAGTGGGGCAAGTTAACCTCTACTGATTACAACCAAACTCTTTATGGCTTTAAATGAACGTGCTGAAGCCTCAGACACACTGTGAGTACAACTTCCACTGTTGTGTCGCAGCAGGATCTTCTTCTCTAGGCCTGGTCATCTGGCTTCACGCCAAGCTATTGATTCAGAATGAACCAACTAATGCCAGTGTATAACCACGATTGTTTTGTTTCTGCCAGCTGGCTCAGTTTGGAGAAAGTAAGATTCTGCCTGCACAAATGAAACACCGTGTCAGAGCTCCATCCCAGATGGTCCTCCTCACAAAGGCCACTCAACAATCAGACATCACATCACGTCCTCATCAGCCTGCACCCCCAGTTCCGTCTACAAATATTTGTGATCAGAGAAGGATGACAGTTCAAACATTACAGCCACTGGGGCAGTGACCTCAGACAGCTATGTAACCTTTTGGGCATGCATAAAAAGCAACATGTCACCATAGATGGTGTCACTGATATTGTAATGTATGAACAAAAATTATTCCCAATAGGAGCACTTCTTGTATCTTCCACAACCACTGGCACTCTTGAAGGGGAAGCTCACAATAAAAAAAACTAACTCTATGTTAAACACAGGATAACTGATAGGTAGGCTGTAGTGTAAAAATCTGATACCAGGCAGCCAAGTGGACAGTTCCAATTAAAATGCCTTTAACACCTATGGGTTAACACATTAAAAAAACCATCAATGTTAATCAGCATACTTGCCTTTCTTCGGGTGTGTAGGCAACACTCAGTGATTCCACACACCCATGTGAACACAAAACATACATATAAAGGACCAATCACACCACTAGTGATAGATAGGCAAAAGAACAGAATCCCAAGTGTACATCATGGAGACAAATCTACAGTTCGCAATGTGGCTCTAAAAACATACTGTGAAATAAAAGGCACCAAAAGCTGCCTTAATCTAATCAATTGTGGAGCAGTAATTAGCGTAAATAAAAATGTGTAGGTATAGATATGCAGTAGGTCCAGATAGATTATAACTTCAGATAATGTTGTAAATTTTAGGCTTCACAAATGTGGAAAATGAACCTTGATCTGGTCAGATATTGTAGCCTACAGTATTTGCGGTCTTGATTTGTCTCTGAGGCGATGCAGGATAAACTATCACCCACGTACTGTAGCCAGACGCGTCAGAAGCCCCCTCAGTCATCGGAGCTGCCAGTCATACTGTCAGGCAGCTATAAAACCAGCCTTCAGCCCGGCTGCACCTGTTGATCACCCGACAAAACACTTAGCGCGTAACGACGAACCCTCACGTAAGTAGCCTAACTACAGTGCAAATCAGTACTGGTACATGAAACACCAAAGGTTCAGGCTGCGGATACATGGCTTTAGTGCTGCTGACTGCTCTGAAACACACAGGCTATGCGTTCGCTCGTGTGAGAAGCGCGCATCTCTCCAGACGCGCACAGAAGCTCCGCGCTGGATCTTTCCTGCAATGATACATTCTGTCTCTGAAAACTGAGAAAGCAACATACGGTAGGTGTGCTGCTTGTTTAAAGCCTGGAAGGATCTAAAGTAGGAAGGATCTGAGTTGAAGAGATGATAGATGGGGCTGGTGCACGCAAATACATCGATTCCGTATCAATGCAAACTATTTAAAATACGAAGACTTTACAGTTAAAGCTATTTGATTATTCTGGAGTTTAAAGGACAGCTTTTTTTTTCAATTGCATCGAAATATTTTAAGACAGCCTCTCAGAGATTAATCAGGAAATATTTTTACTGATGGTTCTGACAGTTATTGACTAAATTACTCACAGTACTGCTGCCAGTATGTATTCATTCTGTTGAGTAAAAAGGATACAGCATCAAAGCGTTGACTTTTATATTTTCCTGTGCATATATGTAACCTAATATATTTCTGATAGAGTCATTTTATTCACTTACTGACGAAAAAAACAGAAACAGTGCGTGAGTCTGATCTGCCGGATTATATGTAGGCTAAACTGCATTATTAATAAACTCATTATTGACTGTAGCCTGTGACTGATATTGTCGTGTCACTTCAGCATAAACCAGCCGCAGACTATCGATTATATGTAGGCTAAACTGCATTATTAATAAACTCATTATTGACTGTAGCCTGTGACTGATATTGTCGCGTCACTTCAGCAAAAACCAGCCGCAGACTATCCTGTAAAGATGTGAGCCTTATTATGTCACAGTGATTCAGCAAGGACACTTCAGACTGTAATTATGGTGATTATATATTTACCTGTCAAATCAGAGGTGTAAAGATTTCATGTTACTCATCTGGAATTTTCAATTATTTTGATTAACTGTTATCTGCAAATGGTGGAACATTTTGAGAATCTGTATTTTTCATTTTTGAGAGCTGTAATTCTTTTTGAAAAAGGGTGATTTTTTTTCTATTTCAGCTACATTTTTCACAGGGATCAATGTTTTTGTCAGTTCACATTTTCTGGCACAAATATAAAATTTGAACAGCAGCCTAAATTAAAAATATAACAAGTCTTTGCCAAATGTGCCACTGCTGAGGGATTTCATCATCCCAGTGCACCTGTGTCAGTATTGCCCTGTGCTGCACACGCACAGCGGATGGATAGAAAATAGTGTAGAGCGGATTTGAGACACGTAGCAGTGTTTCCTTTAACATTCAGAGATTGTGTTGAAGTTGGTGTTGAAATGACAGAAAGGCACCCGACTCACTGACAGACAACCTAATCTATGTCAGAATTGTTCTGCAGCAATTAACCCCACTCATGTAAGACCCCAAACTGAATAACAGCAGCACATTTCTATGGTTGTTTCTAAATGGGAAGGCTGCATTCAGACAAAAGGAAGTTAGTGTCATTTTCTGCTTTGAGCTACACATGACTGAAAAGCTTGTTATCACAAGGACAACTGTTATATTTGGACAGAGGAACTGACTCACTGCACGGCTTACTGTATCTGCAGTTACACAGGAAAATAAAGAATGGAAAGTTTCCATTTAATTCACTGACATAAGCTGTATAAATGTGCTCACAGTAGGGAATTTATCTTCATCAGGGTTTCAGACATATTCTTGGCATGGGAAGTGTCTCGTATTTTCCTGTGCATGTTGGTGAATACATGCACTGTAGTTTATTTCAGTGATGGTTTCATCCCCTCAGGTTGACATCGGGAATGGAGGGCACAGGCAGTGGCTGGGCAGCTGAGCTCACCCCCCCATGTGGGATGCCTGATGTGAATGGGAACAACACCGGTCAGGTCTTTGAGGTGCCGCTGCAGAATGTCTCCACCAAGCGCAGCCCTCAGTTTGTGGGTGTGGAGCTGCTACAGTCCTTCAAGCTGCTCATCATCCCCTGCTACACCGTGGTGGCTCTCGTGGGTGTCTTTGGCAACTACCTGCTCCTCTACGTCATTTGCCGCACCCGCAAGATGCACAACGTCACTAACTTTTTCATTGGAAACCTGGCCTTCTCTGACATGTTGATGTGTGCTACATGTGTCCCCTTCACGCTGGCCTATGCCTTCAACCCACACGGCTGGGTCTTTGGCCGCTTCATGTGCTACCTGGTATACCTCATCCAGCCTGTTACAGTGTACGTGTCAGTCTTCACGCTCACCGCCATCGGTGTGGACAGGTAAGTCATAATGAGTCAGAGGACTGTATTTCAAATGAACCTCCTATAGAACCTTATTTGCTTGTATCCTCTCATCAGATGAGGATAAAACTACAGGTGTGGCTTTCAGCTTGAGGCATCTCTCCAAACCTTCTCAGTCACCCTGGTTTAAACTCCACATGAATATAGAAATAATACATAATACTTCAGAATTAACTTGAGGAAAATTGCACAAAATTGCAGAGGAAGATGCAAATGTAAGCACCTGGATGTAGTCGATTTTCATGCCAGCTTTCAAAATAACTACGCTTATATTCTGAGATTCTAGGACTACAATAAACATATACGTGTGTTTCACAGGCATATATTACTATATTTTTGGACACATTTTTCTTGTCTTCCTTGAATAATCGAACAGAAATTGGGAAAAGAAATACTGTGGGTATGTTTCTGAGAAGCATTTTTCAAGTACTGTCATTTCTTTGAGATGTCTCAAGTGTAACAGATCTTAGTGTTTTTCTCTGTGCACTACAGATTTTCAGGTTGAATGATGTAAAAGTCTGGGGAACTGGGACCTGTAGACATTTTATATCATGGTGTATTGGAAAAGGGCTTTAGGATTGTTTGGTTTCCTTAATGAATGCATTATCATTTACCTCTAAAGAGGTTAAAGTACTTTTTCAACCATTTCATGCACAGCGGTCACTACAGTCAGTCAGTACAGTGGACAGTCCTTGCAAACACCACAGGCAGCCACCTGTGTAAATCAAACGCCACCATCCAAGATGGCCGAGTTAATCAGCTATGCTCATAGATCCATGGGTATGTGAATATCTAAACATGATTCTGGATGGTAAAACGTATGGTGATATCGAGTAACATCTAAACAACATTATTTGTCAAATATTGAGGAAAATTATGATTAATGATTTGCCCACTAAA